CCCCCAAAGCCCCAGTAAATAGTTGTATGTCATAGTTGCACATCCTTCTAGTTGCTGTATGTGGGACGCGGCCTCAGCATGGCCGGAGAAGCAGTGTGTCGGTGTGCGCCCAGGATCCCAACCCGGGCCGCCAGCAGCAGAGTGCAAGCATTTAACCGCTAAGCCACCAGGCCGGCCCTTACTTTGCAAATTTGAAGGGCAAAAAAAAAGTGTTTTAATTTGTATTTCTGTGGTAGAGAGTGTGAACATATCATCCATGTGTATATTATAAAGTCACTTTAAAAAATGCATGAGACAGGCAAGCAAGGTGACATATAGCATGAATTTATAGAAGTGGACAAAAGCATAATTTTGGCTGCTATTTTGAATTGATGAGACAGCGGTATAAAAGAGTAAAAACTATACAGGTCACGTTGGGTCTTCACAACATGGCATTGTAAGCCCTGAGGAGGGAAAACAGGATGAAACACTGTCTTGCTGCCTGTGAGGAGTGTCTATTACTAAGGTGGTGACATCAAAACTAATGTAATTTTTTAAACTCCAAGGAATGGTAGTCACTCATTCTCTTCCCAGCGCGGATCAGGAATCTCTGGCCAGCCTTGCAGTGCACATCAGATTGCTGCGGGCCCCTGGCTGCTTCCTTTTTGAAGTGGAACGTTTTTACCTTTATGCCTTTTTCTTGTATGTTATAATATTTATCGAAAAATACCATTGCTGGGCCGGCCCCGTGGCTTAGCAGTTAAGTGCTCACACTCCGCTACTGGCGGCCCGGGTTGGGAGCCTGGGCGCGCACCACCGCACTGCTTCTCCAGCCATACTGAGGCCATGTCCCACATACAGCAACTAGAAGGATGTGCAACTATGACATACAACTATCTACTGGGGCTTTGGGGGGAAAAAAAAAAAGGAGGAGGATTAGCAATAGATGTTAGCTCAGAGTCGGTCTTCCTCAGCAAAAAAAAGAGGAGGATTGGCATGGATGTTAGCTCAGGACTGATCTTCCTCACAAAATAAATAAATAAAAAATAAAAATACCATTGCGTTGTTGACATATATGCAAACTGGGTGTCATAAATGAAAGAAATTCTGCAGATTTGCAGAGAAGGTTATTTATTTGTCTTATTCTCCCCCGTCCTCAGCCATGGATGTGCAGGCATTTGAAAGGCTTTTGGGACCTTGCATGGAAATTATGAAGAGGAACATCGCCACCTATGAAGAGCAGTTAGTGGCCCTGTTTGGAACAAACATGGATATTGTGGAACCCACTGCATGAAGAAGAAGTGTGGAGCAAGGAGACCTGTAGTGACGAATCACGCAGTAGTGGTTAGCCCACTGGGAATGTGTTTGTGTAGATGCCAAGCGTTTTCTGTGACTTCAGGTTTTTTCCTTTTTTTATAATTACAACGTATCTGTAAACAGAGTAGTGATTTAATAGTCAGTAGGCTTTAACATCACTTTCTAAAGAGTAGATCATAAAAATATTGACAAACGGATAAAATGACTTTCTACTCCACAAAATTATGATTTGACTGACAGGCTTACTCAAATGGTTGTAATATATTGAAAGTATCTGTGTTTAAGAAGATAATACGAGGATGTTATCATAGGTGGTATGTGTTCATTTTGACTTACTGAGACTGCTGTGTTAGTGATATGCCCATGTAAGAGGGGACCTGGCAGTGAATCATGCCATGCAGCATGACCTTGTATTCTTTTCACAACTCGTTACATAGAGTAAGTAGAATTTTAATCATTTTTGTTTTAAAGATTTTCTGGCTTGATAAGTTATGTGCTGGCCTTGGCCTCTTGGTGAAATGGTACAAAACATCATATGCAATTTGAAAACCTTTTATATTTTTGCAATAAAGTACATTTTGACTTCTTTGGCATATGTCAGTCACCTACATATTCCAGTGGTTTTAAGGACAGGCAATTTAGTCATTATGATAATAGGGAAGAGTCTTTTTTAGGTGAGAGGTCATTAACACATTTTCCTTATAAAGACTCTTTCTCTGCTTCCTTTTTTCATTTTGCAATTCTCTGTATTCTTTGGCTTTAAAAATTATTTTGACATGTAATGTCACAAAGCTTTTTAAAAAAGCTATTTAAACTTACTTGTCTTCTAAAAGCCTAAGATCTTATATATGCTATAAAAGAAAAAAAAAACCCTCCTATACCAAAAATATTTTGGGTCCTTATCCACATGCCCACAGGATATTTCTTTGTTCTTCACTTAGGCATACATAAGACAATCCTTTGCAGACATCTGCTCCCATGTTTTCCTCCAAGGTGGTAGAAATAATTTTTTATAAGCAAAACCATATATAAAGATAAAAGGGATTTCTGCCCATTCCACATATACCATTAGGCCTTGCCATTTGCTTTAATCTAGACTCACAGGTAAAAGTGCAGAAGGAACGCAAACTGAATAGATTTTCATAACTGTTGTGCTTATTGTTCTGCTACATAAGGTGAATTTAATTCTGTTCAGCCAGAGCAATATACCCTTACATGATTTCTAGGCCTACATGATCCCAGTGTCGACAGAGATTGATTCTAACCAGTTCACTTTTAAGTGAGCAGTTTCATTTTGGGAAACATTTCAAAGAAATAATATACATGGGTAAAATTATTGTGTGGCTGGTGTGGTCTTATTAGAGAATGTTTATGGTCTTACTTGTGTAATGAAAACGTGGTTAAAATATGTTAATCAGAGACTGTATATATAAGAAGTTAAAGTATGTAAAGTATAACTTCAGCCACATTTTAGAATACAGTTTAACAACTTTGCAAACTTTCTGGTAGGAAGAGAACTTACTACATGAGGATGACTTGTTTTCTATTTCAGATTTTATTTTGAAAGCCATGTCTGTTAAACAAGAAAAAACACATCGAACCCCGAATTCCTGGTTCATCATTCTGTGTTCTTAGCTTGATTCACTTTTTCAAGTTACCTGTTTTGTTGCCTAAGCTGATTGTTACCTCTTCATGGGATAGCAGACAGATGCCTGTGTAATAAAGAACTCTGACCAAGGCTGTACACGCCAATTACAGTATTTTCAGTATTGTTGGTTATATTTAAATTTTCCTTATAATAAAGCACACTTTTATAATAAAATATGTTGTTTTCAATGAAGTTTTTCTTTTTTTGGCTTGTTTCTTTAATATGACTCCCATAGTGCCTACTGCATTATGTAAACGCATGATAGAGATGTGGCATGTGTGAAAGTGAACCCCCTGGGCATAACACAGCAAGAAATGGGTCTGTGTGGCAATAGGTTTTTTAAAATTTTAACTGTTAGTCATATGTGATACAAATAATTGTGGTATATTGCAGACTAATTTGGCCATTTGGAATAAATAAATAAATCTGGCTAACAGGGAATTTATGTGTTAAAATATCTAATTAAAATACCTCTAGTTTGACTTGTGGATGTCATTATTTAATCACTAACCAAGAATCCTTACAATGTGGAAATACTCTGTTGAAGTTTCATTCAAGGATACATTATAGGTGACTAAGAATTCTTCTCAGAGAACATTCTTTTAACACAAAGGTGCTTCCCCTTATTTGTTTTAAATAAATATAAATGTGTGTGTATGTGTTTCCTACATATCAATATGAACTAGGGCTTGCTGCATATATTTTAACATAAACACTGCCTGTGACACAGCTGGGTGAATGTATTTGGTTTACTGTTATAAACTCTGGCTAGCAGACCATTTAAAATGCTTTAAAATGCCACAGGCAAAACACAGGGCATGAAGCAAGGGACTTTGGATTTTATTGAAACATGTAAGAGTAAGTGCTGAGTCCTTTTCCTTTCTAAAGCATCTTTAAAATACTGGCATAATTTTCTCAAGAAAATGTTATGTTTATAACAAAGATTAGATGACCTTTAGCATTCTTAAAGAAAATTATAATATGTAAGCCTAGAGGGGTAAAGTAAGACATCTGGAGAAGCCACGGCTTTGTTAAGTAACTGAAGAAGGGATTCTAATATCCAATTATGTTAATACCTAAGGGAGAAGTAGAATTATTAATACATAAGGGAGAAATAGAATTACAAGGAATGCCGGCTTCTAAAACTAAAAGTAGTGTGAGGTACAGCCTGATGTTGAATATCAGAAAGAATTTTGATGAAAAGGAATAAGAGCTGAGACTACCGGGATACTTTTAAAGGCAGCAAAACTAGTTGAGCGACTGAAACTATATAGTTGTTAGTCTTCATAGGTATTTTTAAAAAAACACTTTAAAAGTATAATTATGGAAATATAAGCAATAAAGTACACCAGGTATTTTCAGAGGACTTGTATGTCCGACAATAACTATGAGAGCTTCAATCAATTCACTTGCATAACTGAGGAGAATCAGGGACTTCATCAAAATCGTCTACTTTGTGAGTCCATGGCAGAACTCATGGGCAATTGAGATCTCTTGGTTCCTCATGCAATTCTTGGCTTCCTATATTTTCCCAACAATGATGTTATTCAGCCTAGTCTATAGAGAAATTTGTATGAAGTTTCCAGTGCAGACATTAAGATTATTTTGAAAGGAAAACTTTTTTATTTGACCAACAGATCTGGGTCGTTTTCCCTTTTTATGCTCATAAGTTTGTAAATCTAAAATCGCCTAGGAAATCTCAAAGAAGCATGTAACGTTTATAGAGGGGAAGATGTGATGATGTATGATATGGAAGTAAAGGTCTAGACCACAAAAATGAAATGCCACCTATCAGGTGGTTTTCTCAGATTTTGATTTAACCACAGCCTGAGCCTTGCCATTTTCCCAAATATAAAAAAACACTACTGCAAAATGTATAGACATGAAATGTTTTGTTAGTACCAATTATAACCGAGTCATTATAGTAAGTAAATGCATTTTTACTCTTAAGTGGAAAAACAGAAAATGACCTTTATTTCCAGGTGCAAGGGAAAGTTGAAGTGTGAGCTGGAAATGGGCTCTGAAGTGACAAAAGCAGCCTTGGCTCTTGACTGCAACAACCCAGGAGTGAAACTCTAAATGTTTGCTATTTAACATGAAAAAAAGTTTACAAAGTAGAACCCATGAATGAGTTTATGAGCAGTAAATATGACCAGTCAAAGTGTTGGATAAAGTTGCTTCTAATAGCTGATCTTTGTCCTAACTGGAAACCTACCTAGATCCTGCTGAGAAACAGGAGAATAAATGTGTACTACTAGAGGGGCCAGCCCCATGGCTTAGCGTTTAAGTGTGTGCACTCCGCTGCTGGCGACCCGGGTTTGAATCCCGGGTGTGCACCAATGCACGGCTTGTCAGGCCATGCTGTGGCGGTATTCCATGTAAAGTGGAGGAAGATGGGCACAGATGTCAGCCCAGGGCCAGTCTTCCTCAGCAAAAAAAAAAAAAATCCTTGATTTCATGAAGCATCACAGACTCTGAGTTGAAAATAAAAACCTTTAAAATGTGTACCACTAGAATTCCACTGCCTCTTTTAGGCCAAAGGTTGACATTTAATACAAGTGTACTTCCCCTTACAAAATAACTATATTCTTGAAAGGTACACAAGTGACATTTTTTAAGCCAAATAATATTTTAGGAGAGGTGCTTGCTATAAAGAAATCTTTAGCAAATCTTTTTCTCATAATTGCTTCTTAAAGCGGAACTTAAATATCCTCAACATTTTTATTACTATAGTGCATTGTGAGATACCATTTAAATTGAAGGACTAAAGTGTATTAATTAGACAAATATTGTTTGTCTTTGTGTGACTGACACTGTGAGGAAGACAAAGACTGGTGCTTATTATATAACTTAGCTAGAAGATGAGACCTGTTCTCAAATACTAGTGATGAATATATAGTGCAAGAGACATTCAAAGCACATGGGAGCTATTTAACAGAGTCAGTGTTCAAAAGAGCATATGACATACAGCATAGCATACACCACACTGTATGTTAACATGAAGATTCACGCTGCTTATTCTCCCCTAACTTCATTCTAGTCATTGCTCAGACAAAACGATGCATAAGAGATGGACCAGACAAAAAGATGCATATGAGATGGTGACTGAGAGGGGAGGAGATAATATAAATGTTGGAGGAGGCAAATGTAAGCAGAAATATGAAGTGTAGCACAGTGTGATAAGACCTATGTACATACTATTCTTATGATTTTAATTGCATTGTATCACTTAATTGTCTCTAAAATGAGGTACATTTGACTGGCAACTGAAAGAAAATACACAGAGAAGGGCCTGGGATACCAAAGAGACATGAGCAGAAAAAAGTGTGGGAAATTGTGTTAAACAGTTCAGGTAACAGGAATTATCTAGTCTAGAAAATTGGCAATGAGAAGAGTCATTTGAGCAGATGAAAACCCTCATATTTCTGCTTCTTGTTTTTATAAACTGGAAGTAGGATTAAGTAGAATTATTTGTTGCTCTCCCTAAATACTCACATTTTCATTTATACCAAATTGGATAACTTACAAAAACTTTTTTTTTTTAATGTTATCAATTTATTTATTTATTTATTTTTTGTGAGGAAGATCAGCCCTGAGCTAACATCCATGCTAATCCTCCTCTTTTTGCTGAGGAAGACCAGCTCTGAGCTAACATCTGTTGCCAATCCTCCTCTTTTTTTCCCCCAAAGCCCCAGTAGATAATTGTACGTCATAGTTGCATGTCCTTCTAGTTGCTGTATGTGGGACGCAGCCTCAGCATGGCCGGAGAAGTGGTGCGTCGGTGCGCACCCGGGATCTGAACCCGGCCGCCAGTAGCAGAGTGCCAGCACTTAACCACTAAGCCATGGGGCCGGCCCAAAAACTTTTTTTTTTAATGTAGATTCTTTTTTTTTTTCCCTCAGGGGAAGATTTGCCCTAAGCTAACATCTGTTGCCAATCTTCCTCTTTTTTTCTTCCTCCCCCCCCAACAAAGCCCCAGTATATAGATGTGTATAGTTGTAAATTCTTCTGGTTCTTCTGTGTGAGCCACCACCACAGCATGGCTACTGACAGACTAGTGGTATGGTTCTGCACCCGGGAACTGAATCCAAGGCTGCCAAAGTGGAGGGCACTGAACTTGAACTGCTATGCCATCAGTGCTGGCTCATAAAAACTTTTTGAGGGCAATTGAAACCACAAAGGTAGTCCCCTCTATGTCCTGAGGACACCCAAGTTTATTTCTATAGACTTGGATCTCCTAAGCTCCAGACAAACATGTTCAGCTGCTTACAGGAACCATGTACACAAAGTTCTTGCCTGCACAGCAAGTTCATCATCTAAAGTTGAACCCATCCTTTCCCCTTCTCCCAGTCTCCAAATCCATTCCCTCCAACAAGCCCTATCTCAGTCAATAGCATCTACAAAACACAATTACCCAAGCCAGAAACCCTACCCAAGCTAGAAACCCAATCATCATTCTTGATTCCTCCCTTCCCTTAATTCTTCCTCCTACTGGTGACAAATGTTAGACACCACATATTGACCACTGAAGAAGAGTCTTGCTTTATGGTCATCAGAGCCAAATTTACACTTTTAGTTGCATCAGTAATTACAAGCACAAGAGATACATATTACTCAGTTCTAAAATGGCACTCATCATCTGCTCCCAAGCATTTCATGACAATTGGAGTTTACCTGAGTATTCTGAACTAATTATAAAATGATCTCCTTTTAAAATACAGTAAGATATATGGAAGGATATTTGTGAGAGTTTAAATAATCCACCAAGAAAGATTCTATCTGAAAAGTTTGGGCACTTGCTATTTCAGACCATACATGTGCTCCATTTCCTAATTTTAGGACTTGATTTCAGTGATTTCATTTGCTTACCTTTTGACAATTTGAAAAGCGATATTCTCAATATTCAAACAATGCCACGTGCTTGAAGACCTTGATTTTAGATGACAACTTCTTGTCATATTTTGGCATAGTTTATGTGTATAATATTTGTGTGTATATATATATTGTATCTGTACTAACCAAGAGTAGGTGTTATTTAAAGACACTGATTTTTTTTTCTTTGAGGAAGATTAGCCCTGATCTAACATCTGTTGCCA